CCCAAATGAATATAGAATTGTTTTGAAGTTTTATGTGGATTTTGTCGCCATCTCTAAACACTTGTATTTTCTTAGCTATACAAAGACAAGTGCGGTTTTTCATTATAAGATTGTAACCAGGTCTCTCTATCGTGAGTAAAGGGTGTATTTTTTTTAGCACACTTAAGGATGGTCGGAGGCATGACACAAATCTTGAGACAATCTTTTCAGCAAAAAATTTTCAAACCTCAATTAAGCGTCATCCAGAGCTCCGATTTCAGCAAACTTATAGACAAACTGATCGACTCGATGAGAAAGATCCAATGATATCAAGCTTAGTCCAATCTGAGTAAAATCAAGCACAGATCGAGTCATTAAGCAGGTTTTGGAAGTCAAACAAATATCGAATTCAACGCGTTTATAGTCGAATCGAGCGTCTCAAAAAGACAAATCAAACAAGACCAATATTGCTCAATTTCGACATCATTAAGGCACTCAAATGTCCATCACACGTCTTTTGATAGAAGGAAGCCATCCGGACCGTCCGATCAAAATAGTTCATATTCTTGCATTAATTGCACCCAAAACACTATAAATATAGTCACACCCCCTCACATGAGGGGGAGGAGGAAGGGGCCCAAGCCCAAGACCCTCCCCGCCATCGTCGATCGTCGTCGCCCACCACAGCCGACCTCTGTCGACCACCGCCGACCACCGTTGAACGCCGCCGATCACCGCTGACCTCTGTCAACTACCGCCGACTGTTATTGACTGTTGTTAGCCACCATTGACCTCCGTCAACCACCGCTTACTAGACTTCATTAGTCGACGTTGTAACGTGAAAAGCTAGTAACTCTATCCCGCCTATGGGACAAGGGGCATTTGTGATCATCAACTTATAGTGGATTTTTACAACTAGGTTAGACCCCGTGGTTTTTCCCTTTTTACGAGTTTTCCACGTAAAAACTTATGGTGTGATCACAAGTCGATTCATTTTTATCTGAGTGTGTGCGGAATTCTCGTGCAACGCTAAGACAATAATCCATTACTCTACCACCACAAATTTTCTAGCACGCATCAATATATATAAAGGTTGATGGCCGATTAACACCAGTCTGACCGAGGGGCGGACCCTCCTTCTAAAAATATGTGCAATTCGATCATACGCAGATATCAAACCCCCAACCCGAGGGACTTACACCAAAGGCTACAACCAATGAATCATGCTAAGACGCGTGCGCACACACACACAGACACACAAAGTTCATGCATATATTATATATTATCATCAAATTAATGCGTTGGAACATTCACGATGATATAACAGTGATTTATTGTCTTATCGTTATACGAAAATTCAGCACACACACAAATAAAAAAATAAAACGAAGGAAGACACCCAAAATTTTACGTGGAAAATTCCTGAAAGGAAAAATAAACACAGGGTCTAGCCGAATCAAATTAATCCCCTATGTGTTTCTAAGTATAGAGGTACACTCTTCTCTCACGTCAAGGAGAATGAGGTAACAATCTTATACTGAAAAATACATTTGTCTTTATAAGATTGAAAACTATAAGTGTTAGGAAATTTAACAATAGCCGCAGTCTTGTTATAATTGTTTCAAACAGTGGTCGCCAAAGGCAGTTGGCCGACCATCGGCGGCAAGTGGTGATGGCAAACGGTGGTCTATGGTGACTGGTGGCTATGGAGGTCGATGGTTGCTGGTTGGGGGTTTTCTCCATAATATGCTCTGGAATTTTACTTCTCATTCTTCTCGTCTTCTTCTTTTCTTCTCTCCTTCCAAGTGAAGATATGGGGTTTATTTATAGCTTTTTAGGGAGATACAGTCTAGTTTTTTGGTGCATAACTTCCATAATCAATTCATAGGATAGTCAGTGTTGATCCCTTAATTATAGGTGATTTTTTAAGGATTTTAGTACCTTATTGACCTCAAATTGAACGATCTTAGGCATATTGAATTCCTCTCATCAAAAAACTTATTCCGACTATAAATATTTCAAATTTGGAGTTTGTTTAATAATTTAATTAATGATCCAAAGCTTTCAATTATGCTTTAACGACTCGATATGAGTCTGATTTGACTTAGATTGACCTTACTTTACAATTGTTGGGTCACTATATCTAAGCGCTTAGTTTTTACAAACTTACTAAATTTAATCTCATCTGATTTTAAATTCAAATTTAAAACATTTATTATTAAAAAAATATACCGAGACTCGTATTATGATAAAAATTTTCTTGATGAGATATCACAAACAACCTTAATAATTTATCTTTTTGGCCCTGAGTTAAGAGCGATTATTGTATGCGGAGAATGAACGCAGAGCTGTGTGCGCTCTCTGATCATAGCCACTGTCATGCAGCCACGATACGCGTGCAGAGCGCACGCAATAATTAGACCTGAGTTAACAGCAATCGTTTTCCACATATTTAAATCCACCTAATTACAGACGTGCAAACGTGCTACGTACACGGCCATACACACCACTAAAGAAACAAATCAACTCACAGTCCACTTTATTAAACTTTATACCAAACTTCCACTCGTCATCCATCAATCCAAACAATCGGCTAAATAAATTAACAAACATATCGGAAACCCATCATGTAATTTATTAATTAATCCAACAAATTCGATGAAGTCAGAGGGGTCATTGCGTGCTTGTTGTCTGTTGCTGATCAAATGAGGACATGATATTGTAAAGAAACAAATCAACTCACAGTCCACTTTATTAACTTTATTCCAAACTTCCACTCGCCATCCATCAATCCCAACAATCAGCTAAGTAAATTAACAAACATATCGGAAACCTATCATGTAATTTATTAATTTTTCAAACTAATTCGATAAAGTCAGAGGGGTCATTGCGTGCTTGTTGGCTGTCGCTGATCAAATGAGGACATGATATTAATATTATATCTCTTAAGTATATAATAAACTGTACATTCAATAACTTATCATCATACTATTGAGTTTAGTTAGCCTTGATTGATGATGTATTGCTCAACTTAGAAAATTTCAAAAATAAACAGATAATATATCTGCCCTTCAATTTTAAACATTCAAATTAGGCATGCTTTTAGTCCAATAAAATGTCTTGACAAGATTTCTCACAAAAAAAGATCTGCCTGGTCCAACAAGGACAGAATAGCTCTCAGCTATTCCATCAACGTTAGCTGATTGGGCTTACAAATTCATAAGTGGACTAATAAAAGATCAATTCAAAATGTTCGAGTGTGATTGAGATTTGCTGAGGAGAACATCCATGTTTAACAAAGTAAATCGACTAGAAAAAGATATCTCCAAGGTCCCAACTTTAGTGGGGATATGACTATTAAAGAGAAATATACCATAAATATGTATGGATGATATAGATCTGAATATGTCAATCCCTATTAAAAAAGATGTTAAATGTAAATGACATATTTACACAGTTGTTTACCTCTGTCGTCTCCTTTTGAACACTCATTTTCTTGGGTGCAATTCAAGAACAAATACAAGTTCAACTCAAGAAGAACCGATTGAGGTTTCAATCCCTATTAAAAAAGATGTTAAATGTAAATGAAATATTTACACAGTTGTTTATCTTTGTCGTCTCCTTTTGAACACTCATTTTCTTGGGTGTAATTCAAGAACAAATACAAGTTCAACACAAGAAGAACCGATTGAGGTCACGATCATTCAATTCTAAGATCATTATGCTTCTAAAATAATGAAAGAGTAATATACACAAATCATTCAATGGAGTGTTTAAGATATTGGATAAATTTATCAAAATACTTGAAACTTATAACCACCAATAACTATGGACAATTAATGCTGGTGGGTGTTTAGAATATAATACATTCATAGTTATCTCCATACTACTATAGTCTTATAACCATAGCATGACCTATGTTAGTATTAACAACCATTTTTAAATGTAAACAATAATATTAGAATTAAAAATAATTCAAATTAATATGGTGCTTTTGGAATAAATTAGAAATATAAAATAAATTTAAATTTAAATTTATTATTTTTATCAAAATGAACAGCACGTAATAAATCAGCCGGAGGCGCTCAAATGATATATATGGAATATAAAAATAATTTAAAATGCCAAAAATTAATGGCACTGCATAAAAAAGAATTACATTAGGCAAAAAGACAATATAAAGTTAAATTTTTAGAAAATTCTCATTCCCTGTACTACGTCGGCAGGTGGCGTTAATTGACGGGCAGTCACGGTGATAAGATGGGAACGGATCCCCAAAGAAGCGCAATAGTCTTTGATGCAGTGTCACACGAAAATACACGTGTAATCACATAATACGAAACAACCCATTTGGTCCTTCTTATAATTATGTTTAATAATAATATTAGATCCGTACGTAAAAAAATATGTGTTGAAGAGATCCAAAGCTTCAAAAGGATAGCAACTCAATGCCAAGAGATCGTCAGACTCACTTTAGTGACCGAATGAAGTCATACTAAACAAGCTATTAAAGCCAAAAATTGACCGGACCACCAAAATGGACAAATGTTGACCTAAGATTACAAGCAATTGTCATCCAGATTGAAACAAGATAAAAGAGCATATGAACCAATCTATACAGTAATATCAATTCGATGTGATAGCCTACCCACTAATATGTACAATCATCCTAAGGACACCCAAAACTTCATCTTGACAAGTTATCAAGAATCAACAAGTTACGAACACTTTTTAAAGCATGAAAAAAATATAATATAATTATTGTAATCTCATATCTATAAATAGAAGAATCATTTTATGAATAAAATGACATGAATTATTGTTCATTAGAGATCACTCATTTTTTTTCTCTCTTTATTTGCACTATATTTCTTAGGTGTAATTCAAAATAAATCATGACAAAACACACACACACACACACAGAGATATATATATATATATAAGAACTAAAACTCAATCCTCTTAATCAAAATATAATATGATTTCAACCAACACTAAAAAAAAAGGAGGTCAGCCTCAATCCATTCACAAGAAACAAACCAAATATAAACAGTCTCACCTAAACATAATAATATATACACATCATTACATGAATACAAAATACTTCACCCAACAAACAGCTCACGGATCAAGGTCCCCACATGTCCTCGAAGGTGGACCGAAACGAAGCCAGTAGAATCAGGACGACGACGGCGACGGCGACGCCCCATGGAGAGGCGGTCCTTCTGAATTCCGCTTTCATAAAAGCTTCGGTAGCGTCGACGTTCGGAGGGGAAAAAGAAGCCGAGGAGGCCATCGCCGTCGAAGAGGGAGTCGGCAGAGCTGAGAAGGCGGATGAGGAGGAGAAGGGCGACAGGAGTGAGGAGGAGAGCGAGACTCATTCGATCATGGAGGGATTCGAGCAGGTCTTCGTAGTTGAAGGTGTAAGAGAGGGCGAGGAGGAGGATGACAGTGACGAGGATGAAGATGACGGGGTAGGGAAGAGGGGAAAGGGTGAAGGTGTCGAAGATTGATGGATCTCTTCTGTAATAGGCCATGGAGGAGGGATAGGGAGGGAGATGGGAAAGTGGTTTGTGGGGGCAGGGGAGATGTATGGGGGGAATTTAAACAGAGGAGTTGACAGAGAGGGAAGTGGGGAAGACATGTAGCAGATGGGGATTTCGCATTTTAAGTCTCTAGAAATTTCGGTATTATTTAATTGAGGCTTGATGTAATTATTTCTAAATATAATTTATTGCATAATAATTTATTTTAAAAAGAGATTGTAATAATTACACTTAAATGTTTTGATTATGGAAGTGATTGTTGGGTCTAAGAAAAATCAGGTAAGATACTTAGAGTCTGTTTGGGGCAGCTACAATTTATCAGGATAAACTAATGTTCAGCAACTTATCCGGATAAATT